AAAAAAAAAAAAAAAAAAGAAAATGCCATATACAGGAAAAAAATATTGAATCCGTTTTCTTAAGCTTTATAAGCTACAACAAATTGCTTATGCTAAAAAAACCCATTTGTATTGAAAGATTCAAAAATAAAATGCCAAATTATCCAACAGCGCTCCTGCAAATGTTATAAGCTCTAAAATAAAATGTGCAAATAAACTGTTATATAAGGTTTGATGCAATTTGATTATTGCCTATTTCCGTCAAGAAATTAAATGTTCGCTTAAAATAGCTCAAAAATGCGAGATTGAATGAACGGAATTAAAAAACCTACGAAAGATAGTTGAACTGCATTCAAATTGACTGCGATCGGTACAGAAAAATTGAGTAGGCAATAAAAGCGAAGAGCCCAAAAGTCAAAAGTCAAAGCTTCGTATCATTAATTTGGCATTTTGACAACAGAAAGTTTCTTAGGGTCCTATTTGAAGTGTGTAGCAACAAAAAACGGACCGTTATATGTGAGATAAACTCTGTAGTGTAGAAAGAAAAAAACACAACAACAGAGTATCACTGTTCAGCCTGTTTTCTTTTTGGAACGTTGCCCGTTGTATCGACGACCCTCCAGTAATTTAACTGCGGCTGCGGTACTTTTTCAAGTTACTGTTTCTTATAGGATCCTTTGCCGAGTATATCTTTCATTCGTTTCTTATTTATTACCCGAATACAGTGGTACAGTGGTTAGGTTCGCTGCTCTTCATTTGCGTTTAATTTTTACCTTCGATGAAACTGTTCCTTAGTGGAAGCAAACTGTATAATTAATCCTAAATGATCATTTGTTATTATACTAGGACTGTGTTTTTTGTCTTTTTACACTATTTCCGCAGAAAAAAAGTTATGATCATTTGAATGTCTAATTCTAAAAAATTATCATTTTTACAATTTATATATCTCATCTAGTTTAGCTTTAGAGTGTAATATTTTATTTATTTATTAATTTAATTCAAGTGTTGCTGACTCTAAGTTAGTTGCATGAAACGATAAATTATCCGCGATG